TTGCTCATTTTTCGTATTAAAAATTTATAATTCGAGCACAAAGTAGCACAAACCTAGCACAAATTAGCACAATTGTCAAAATTATTAAATTTGAAAAGTGGGGGGCTAACTTTATACAGGCGAGTATAACGCATTGGAGAAGGGAGATCCTATTGCTTCATCGAGCAATCTGCTGTCGTTATCTCCATTCATGGATGAATGCGGGATAATTCGAGTAGGCGGCAGATTAAAAAATTCTTGTCTGTCCTATGAAGCGCGCCACTAAATACTATTACCTCGAAATCACGATCTGACGAAACGCGTAATAGCACTTAAGCGATTTATTTCGCGTAGGGGCAAGCTTGTCCAATTTCACTCAGATAACGCGACCACGTTGGTCGGAGCGTATAGACAGCTAAAGGAAATTTTCGAGTTCTTAAATAATAAGCAAACGCAGGAAGAAGTTGGGTAGTTTCTCCGTGAGCAGGAGATTTCGTGGACGTTCATCCCGCCAAACGCGCCATACTTTGGTGGGTCGTGGGAAGCGGCCGTGAAGGCTACAAAGTATCACGACGCGAATCATAGGCAGGGTGCATTCGACATTCGAAGAAATGCAGACGACATCTTGCGAGATAGAGGCGATCCTCAATTTGCGACCGATAACTCCACTGAGTGGAGATCCTAATGATCTATCTTAAGTCCGGGTCATTTTCTAATTGGCACGATAATGAACGATTTTCCCTGTCATGATTTACACGACGTGAACGAAAACTGGCTCGATGGCAGCGAGTTGAGCAAATGAGGCAGCATTTTTGGCGTAAGTGGAGTGCGTAGGAGAGTAACTTCATTTTTCAGATCATGAGTTATAGACTTTTGTCTATTAGAAAACAAAGATTCGTATCATTAGACCGCGATCCATAGATTTTGCGTTAAATTCGAACGGCGCAAGGCGCTTAACGTACATCTTAGAACACATTGATACACGCAACGCGGAATAATCGACATTTTAGGAGGAAGAATGATCGGCAACGGTCCTAATACAAAAGAGGAAAAAAGGGAGCGACAGAAAGACAAACATTGCACTTGTAGATTATGAAAAAGTATTAAGATGCATATATTTATTACAAAATACGTTTGTATACAAAACATAAAAGCGCTTTTATCATATAAGGGAGAGCGGAGTACAGAGGAACGCTTAACATTCTAAGTTTAATAAAAAATTTATAGGAAATGGTTTATAGGAAATTTATAGGAAAAAGTTGTAGGAAATGGCCCAAAGTTGTTCAGCATATACCTACAAGGGTTATGCATACGCAGAAAAACGTTAGTTTAATAACTGTAAGAGATTTTATTTTAGACATTAAAATTGTTAGAAAGAAAAATGGCCCTCTGTGCCCCAAGCACGGGCCACAGAGGACTATGTATGATTTTCTATATACAGGGTGAGCCATTTTAATCGACGGATCCAAATTGCTCCTAAAATACGCCAGCTACAAAAAAATGGTTAAGACAAGAATTGTAGAGGACAATGAGAGTCATTTTATCGTGCTAATAATTTTGACCTTCAGATCGATTTTCAAGGTCATTCAAAGATCAAAGTCATTTTTTTAAATTAGAACCCCTATTTTTGACACCGGATTCGAAAAGAGCAGAAAATTTTACGTTAAAAATGATATTTAGATTTTTTTTCTGAGTCCAAGAAGGTCAAATCAAGAATTTGGAAGATGTTAATTCAATACTTTTAGCGTCACCCGGAAACAACGACGTGGACGTAGTAAGTTCTGTTTCCTTTGGGGTGCTTGATTATCGTGAGTCCCCTTGCCTCTCACATTTGGGGTGCTTGATTATCGTGAGTCCCCTTGCCTCTCACATTTGGGGTGCTTGATTATCGTGAGTCCCCTTGCCTCTCACCATAACTGCAATTTATCATAATTACCCACGGAGTAACTGTTGCCTCCATTTGCTTCAAGACACAAGTGTTTGTTTTTACTCTTAAAATTTTATTTATTACGCCTTATTAATAATCATATCAAAGTGAGATTATTGCGCATCAATTTTGGGAATGGAATGACAACGTTTCGCAACTTTTCTTCTATTAGTATTTGTTAATACTGCAAAACACTTATCATGCATAAAAATCTTTAAAATTAACATTAACAGCTTCAAAGTTGTTTTTAATCATTTTTTATTTAACCTTCTTTGACTCAGAAAAAATCTAAATATCATTTTTAATGTAAAATTTTCTGCTCTTTTCGAATCCGGTGTCAAAAATAGCAGTTCTAATTTTAAAAAATGACTTTGACTTTCGAATGACCTTCGAATGACCTTGAAAATCGATCTGAAGGTCAAAATTATTAGCACGGTAAAATGACCTCCGTTATTCTCTACAATTCTTGTCTTAACTATTTTTTTGTAGCTGGCGTATTTTAGGAGCAATTTGGATCCGTCGATTAAAATGGCTCACCCTGTATGTATGATAATGTTTCGCATATCATACATATATAAAAATAGAAACAAAGTAATCAAAATAAGGTTATCATTTCCAGATAACACATGTATGTATATATGTGTGTGCGTGAAAGCACATATGAAGTGAAAAAAACGATGTTTTATTGTCAATTCTTTTTTCATTTTTTATTAATGGGTACCTAATAAGAACAATATACTTATTATATAATAATGAAAAAGTATTTATTTATTATAATTATAGCAAAGTAGCCAAAAGCCACATAGGCCTCCTAAAGCGACATACCTCTATATCTCATATATTACATGTTATATTTTATCGAAACTAATATAAACGTAATTCGTTTTATCAGTTAAGTTATGAAAAATTCATACGTGGTATATTTCTTGATCTTTTATATGCTAAATTAGCAAATATCGAGTTTCAGAAATTTGTAAGTTTTATTTATACGATTTTTATTGAATTACGTAGACCAGACATCGATAATAATCTTTTTGTTGAATATTAAATTCTTCTACATGAATTTGGTTTTTGTACAAATATTTTTTAAATATTTTTATCTTCATTATTTTTTTACTGTATAACTTGAAAAATTTTATGAGAATGTGTCTTAAAGTGACATCCCCTACAATATGCGATAGATACGATACTCTGTAACATAACTTGATTCTAACCTCCCATTGTGACGTGATATTTGTTTGTTTTAAAGTTTAATTCTGTTTAGTTTAAATATATAACATATGGAAAATATGTGAGAAATAAAAAAGATGGAAAAAAATATGTTTTTATTTAATTATATTTCCCTTTTGTAATATTATATTTTGAATAAATGAATATTATTCAATCATTAAATGCATTAAGGAACTATTTATTATCAAATATTATCATATGTGCAACATGTTATATAACTTCTAATAGGTATGTCGCTTTTGGCATCCATTTTCTTGGAACTCCATTTTCGTGCGTTTTACAAAAACATTTTTTGTTTTAAATATAGAAACAATTTCACTAAAAATATGATATTATCTGATAGGAGGACTTCCAACTACATGTATATATATTTACATTTATATTTTGAGCTTTATATTAAGACATAATCTCCAAAAACGAACTATTTTATACGAACATATTAATATTATATTTTAACAAACATATCTTCAAAAGTAATCCTTTTGCAGTTTTCTCGTTACAACTTTCTTTATGAGATTTGTTTACATGGCCTACTGTTATTATACTATTAGCGATTGTCTGTTTATTGTAATTTCTACATTTTCAAACAGATGGCGTTTGTTTATCTATGTTTTATAAGCGGTGGTCCACTGTGCTTCCCTGGTCCTCTATGCCCCGTTCTCTCCTACTTATTACTTAAGCCGCTTTCAGCAAAACAGAACCGTGCACAAACGCGAAAAACGAGTGTTGCGTAAAACGATGGAACTATTACGTTGTTCGATTTTACACGGAGTAACGTTAATTACGCTTAAAATCCCGAATAACTCATCTTACTGCAATGGTCCAGGACGGAAAACGCTTAGGAGGAGCTCGGGGAATCCGCACTCAATCCTCTGTATCCTTCCTTTTTGCACTCGCGACTTAGTAACGACCGATAGTGTAACGAGCAACTGCGTCTAATGAGCGAAAGGCCTCGAGACTGTCTTGAGAATATCTTATATATTCCACGCACACACGTAAATTTTCAAATTATTTATTACTTAACGTGTCAGTCAGATTATTTATAAATAAAACTATAATAAACGAATAAATCCGTGATCGATAAAAAGGAACACTATACAGGGTGTTTTTTTTTAACTTGAGACTGCTAAATATCTCGAAAAATAAGCATTGTACGACAAAAATGTCCCAAATAAACCCTCAATAGTTTCGAGGGCGCAATTCAATCCCACAAAAATTATCCACCTCCCGTCCCCCCTGGGGATGGGGCGGGGGGTAACTTTGAAATCTTAAATGGGAACCCCTACTTTTTATTACAGATTCGGATTCTACATCCAAAAACACGTAACTTTTGTCTGAACTTTTTTTTCTATTTCTGATAGATGGCGCTGCATTCGGCGAAAGTTGGGTAACCTTCGTTTTCTTCAAAGGGAATCCCTTATAATGACGCTACGTCGAAGAAAAGTAACTTTTGTCGGAAACATGTTTTTTCGAATTATCGTAAATATCTACGATAATTTTTGATCCGTTTTAACTAAAAAATGAAAATAAAAGTTACAATCTCCAATGGCCTTGACCTTTACAAATGTTATACAAACGATAATCAAGCATCTCGAATGTGAGAGGCAAGGGGACTCACAATAATCAAGCACCCCGAATGTGAGAGGCAAGGGGACTCACTGTAATCAAGCACCCCAAAGGGATTAAACTTCCGTCATATCCACGTCGTTAATCCTGGGTAAAGCTAAGAACGGATAAAAAATTATCGTAAATATTTACGGTAATTCGAAAAAACATGTTTCCGACAAAAGTTACTTTTCTTCGACGTAGCGTCATTATAGGGGATTCCCTTTGAAGAAAACGAAGGTTACCCAACTTTCGCCGAATGCAGCGCCATCTATCAGAAATAGAAAAAAAAGTTCAGACAAAAGTTACGTGTTTTTGGATGTAGAATCCGAATCTGTAATAAAAAATAGGAGTTCCTATTTAAGATTTCAAAGTTATCCCCCACCCCATCCCCAGAGGGAGGGCGGGAGGTGGATAATTTTTGTGGGATTCAATTGCGTCCTCGAAATTATTGAGTTTATTTGAATTTACCGTTCTCGGGTAACTTACACTCAATTGTCTTTTGAAATCGGTGTGCCTTTAGTCCAGACTTAGTAATCATTATCGATTTGTCTTTGTGTTGTGTCAAATCATCCGTATCTTTGTCCGATGAGGTGTTTCCTTATCTGCTTCATATCACTTAATCTGGACTTTTATACCGATGTGCTACGTTATGATTGGTAACGATTAGTTCATAAACTAATCGTTACCAATTTAGTTCTTCCTCCTTTTTTTTGTATTGCTTGTGTATTTCTCTTAGTATTTCTTTCCATTTCTTTCTTTTCCAGAGTATTTGTATTTCTTTTTGGTGTTGTGCTCTTCTTCTGTTACCTTATCCTGGGTTGGTTCGTCATTGTCACTTGAATATTTCTCACGTTTAATCGAAGGATTCATAGATGAGGAGGTTACGGATGTAACAGATGTACCCGGTGTGGACCTTAATAATTGTTGACTCACCTGAGGTTTCGATACAGATATTACTGATTTATTTTTTGGTGTGACTTGGCATGTTGCTGCGAATGGATAAAGATCCTTATTGATTTCACTGCACTTTTTCGTTTCATTTTTTGTTTCTAGCACCCGTTTCAAAATTTGTTGGACTGCTGCCTCATAACCTCGACGCGATTCAAAGTTTTCTTTTTCCCAGTATTGTACGTAATGTTTCCATTTGTCCACTGGTAGTATCGCAATTTTATTTAGGTTTTGCATGAGGAACTCTGGAGATTTATCTTCTGAGACATCTATCTCTGCAACATTTATCGTTTCGTCTTGTGTTATGTTTTGTTTGTTTTCCATGGGGAATGACTGGTCAGAATGGTGTTTGGGGTTAAAGAATTCAGCCCGACGATATTCACGTGTTTCTTTGAATCTTTTTGGGCAGAAGTTCGGTGAACAGTGTGGAAAACTGTGATGATGTATCTTGTTGTTCGCAAATTTTTCTCTTTTGGTCGTGTTCGGCGAACGAGTGATTTAATGTTTTTATTTATTTATATCTTCCTCTGTAGGGGATCGTTGGATATTTTTGCCGATTTTAATAATTGTTTTTGTAGGAGTGTTATATTCGTGACGCTTTATTTCTCCCGCTGTTATCTCGTAATTCTCTATTTGGAGGTGAGTTTGTATTCTTGCTAAGACTTGACCGTAAGTGTACTGTCTTCTGCTACTATTTCCACTTATTACTACCCGGACGTCCACGGACTCGCAAGAACACGTTCGGACCTGCACAACCAAACTATGTAGTAAATAGCTAACTGACTATTTCCGCAACACTTACAAATCTTACCTTAGGACTGTTGTAGACGGCTAGTCGTTAGTATCTGGGAAGTGTACCAGCTTCCGGACTCTTCTCGTTCCTTTCCTGGTTACTAGAACTCTGCCGCTTGTGAAGTTCGGCACACCTTTGCGAACACGTCTGCTCTCCGAAATGGACTGCAAAAGAAAGGTCAAGAGTCTCGGCTAGAGCCCACGGTCACGACGATTAAATAAGAATCACGCGCCATCTAGGTGTCCGCGCGCGCACTCACAATCAGACTCTCACAATATTACTCAGATTTCAATCAGATATTTGAGTTCAGAGTCTAAGTAATAAGAGATAAATATCATTCTTTCGTATCATTTAGTTTATTGCAGGAAGACGAAGTGAAGATAAAGTGGGCACTTGAATAGAAGAGTTCGCGAACCGCGGTCGTATTTGTTTTTATAAATTATTACAAAATTAATTTTATTCATACTATGCAAATTATACAAAATATCGTAATTTTTACTTTATAATATTGTCATACAATTTAATTAAAATATATATTATATTTATTATTGTATATATTTTTACATGGCAATTTCCCGCAGCCACAATGATGAATTAAGAGAAATAGTACAACACAGTATCAGTTGAAAATTGGTCAAAATATGTAACGTAAAATATGTTTGCAAAGATCTGATTTAACTAACATTTACGCAAATTTACTCTGTGATACCTGAACCTCCATATTTAATATATTCCAGTATTTAATATGTTTCCTTGCGATCCTGGTTGTATAGACCCTGGTCGTGCTAATATAGTTTCATTTTCTAGCGGATATAACTTTAGTACTATGTACATATTATAAGCTTATTTTTTATGTGATTAACCGCTAGAATCTCCTTAGGCAAGAGTGACAGAGAATGTGTAAATTGTTCCACTAAATGTTCCATTAAACATGTCCTTTTATTTATCGCGCGAACATGGAGATACAACAATATTTCTCACAGTTTGCTTCATGGTTTATCCGAATTCGAATAAAATTTCGTGTAAAGCCGCGTGGCAGAATAAAAAGCACGCTTCATTTTATTTTTAAATCGACAGTAAAGTTTTAAGTAACAGTCAAACTGAAAGTTATTCAAAAGTTAATCCTTTTTTTACACTTCATACTTTTTCTATAATAAAGTAAAGGGAAGAGCAGAATTATCTGTAGTTTCTTAACATTGTTTGGCATTACTTAGCTCGCCGACAGAAGTCGTAGTAGTGAAGAGAGTGTCCATTTATATGTCCGATTTCGAGCTGTCGCAATGAATGTTGGCACGCGGAATTATCGTCGGCTGTGCACAGGGGAAGATAAAAGTAGTTGTATCATAAATTTTATAGGAATTCATTGAAGCTTACACTATGTATACATTAAAATGTTATCTAATTGTTTATGCAATTAGAAAGAGATGGACCGTTTTATCTAAAATTTATATTTCTGTTTGTGACCCTTGAAGTCAATGTGCTATTTGTGATTTCTACTTTTTACATCCTTTAAACTATATCTGAAATTCTTATAATAATATATTAAATAGTTTAAAAAATAAAGATGTATAAAGATTATACATAATCATGTATAAAGATTATACATAAATAAGATTATACATAGATTATAATATATTTATGTATAAAGATTATACATAAATTTTAGAATTAATATATTATTTTTAAAATATAACAATATTAAAGTTTATAATTTATAGTAATATTCGAAATATATATATGCTTAATATGAAATATTATTTTACACATATTTAAACATTTATAAATATAATATTATTTAAACAATATTATATATACATATGTATTAATATTTATATATATTTATATGTATATAACTTATATATATAAATTTAGCTTATGAGGATCTAACATTGATCTTACTCGAGCGAATAATATATTTTATTTATTAGACAATATGAATAAATGTTTCGTTCTATTGCGTACACTCTTCAATTACAATACAAAATATAAAATTTATATGATGATAGACTTCTCGACGGAATAAATTAGATTAGATTAGATTAGACTTTAGATTTCTCGACGGAAAATAAATAATCAAGAGGCATTTTACTATAAGAATTTAGTCATATGTCGTAAACAAATTGACCAACTACAGTTGATTATTCTTAAAATAATTGACTATGTTTGGTCAATTTGCTTGCGGTTTCTGATTAATGCTTTATTCTAGAAAACTTACTAAAGTAAGCTAACAGACTCAAATAAATATAACGCAGAATACACATTTCGGTAACGGTCTTGTCGGCTTTAATATTGCGATTAACATTCATGTCAAATTACGCAGGTCTTTAACTATTTGTAATGCGTCTATGTCGTAAACCTTGAGTTTTTTATTATCACAAAATTGCGATCAGGATATGCTGTTCTGCATTCTGATATGCAGATAATGCTGTTTCTTTATCGAAAATTTGGAGACCATATTAAATCATACGAAGAAGTAACTGATCTACACATTCAATGCTGCATATCCTGATCGCAATTTTCTTTCTAAATCCACCGTTCAGAAGACAGTGATACGTTTTTACGAAACAGAAACAGTTAAAGATCAAAATTATTTCAAGCCTCATAACTCTAAATATGCCTAATAAAAAAATACTTTATTATAGGTTTTTGGAAAGCCCTTGAAATAAGCTACAAGAATATGTGAAAAAAAGTAGGGGGTCCAATTTAAAAAAATTCAATTTGACCTTCGTATGACCTTCGTCCTCCACCCAAAGACAAATTTTTAGCCATAATTAGGTACACTTTATTAAGCCTTACAACTTTGCTACTTACATATTTTTCGCTACAGTTGA